TATATATATATATATATATGTATATATATATAGACATATGCGTATGTACAAGCAGATACATACACATAAATGGATATACATATGCATTTATAAAAACATACAGAAATATAAAAACATAAATACATAAATAAGCAAAGATATGCATGCATGTGCCAAACACAAACTTGACTACATACAGCTGAACATTATCGTTGCACATGTCTGCATGCATTATTCATAAATAAAACTAAATTAAGTTGAATTAAATTAAGTTAAATTAAATTAATGCTGACGTTTGGTATATCTTTCAGCAGTTTATCCACTAAAAAGTTATCGCCGCGCCGCTTCGCTCCTTCTTTAGGCTCCCCCATATATTTATGCAGCACAACAGACCCCTCCATTAGCTGCAGCAGCAGCAGCAGCAGCAGCAGCAGCGGAAGCAGCAGCAAGTGCAGCAGCAGAAGCAGCAGCAAGTGCAGCAGCAGAAGCAGTAGAAGCAGCAACAGCAGACGCACCGCAAACAAATAGAACAGCGCTGCATAACCCCGTTATTTATCTCCTTATAATAAAATGCATACGCATAAATAAAATATACTTCTTTAGTTGTGATAAGAAGAAAAAACAATTTTTAATGCATCGCCTGCTGCAATTAGCGGCAACTCAAACTCTTTCCTCGTCAGGGGTTCAAGTGTACATCCAACAAATAAGAATGCATGTACAAATATATATATATATATATGTTTATATATAAGTAAACATATATTTACCTATATAAACACCATATATTGTACATATTATTATATATAATACATGCAATAATACATATATACATATATATATATACATATATATATATATATATGTATATATATATACATATATTATATTATTATATATAAGCAGTAAGAAGCGTCTTGCTTACTTCTTCATCTTCTAGTAGGGGATAAATATCATCAACATGTTTTGAAATGGCGGCTGCTCTGACGATGAAGAGGCCAAAGTCAAATTGAGGTGTCGGCTGCGGAAGCAGTTTTAATACTTTATGTTGAAGGGTTTTTTCTTTATATTCTTCTTCAGATGCTTGCGGTGTATGTGCAGCTGCAGCAGTTCTATTTATATCTCCCTCGGCTACTACTCCTTCTTTTGCTTCATATTCATTTGTTTGTGAAGAAAGCTGAAGAAAATCATTGCGGCATAGTAGAGGCAATTCAGGTGCAGCAGCGTTGCTGCAGTCTGCTGCTTCTGCTGCTGCTGTTGCTGCTGCTGTTGCTGCTGCTGTCTCCTTCTGTGCTACAGGGTATGCATAGCGGCACACAGGCTCTTCTTCTCCATCACTCTCTTCTTCTAATTGAACAAAAGAAGAAGAATTAAATGCAGAGACAGAAGAAATATCATCGATGCCCTCAACTCGACGCGTCTCTTACGCTGAGGATAACCCTAAAAAAACAACAACAGCCCTGTATATACATACAATAAACCCCAAACCCCAAACCCTAAACCCTAAACCCTAAACCCTAAACCCTAGAAAAGAAGACAAGACAAGAAAGCAAGATGCTATCTTACCGTGCTTCGTACGCCTTCGTCGTTGTTTTTTCTTGTTGAATTATTTCTTTCTATTGCTCCTCCTCTATTTCCTTTTCGTTTTGTGTTTGCTGTTTTGAGGGGCGACAGACGCGCTGATTGATTATCCGTTGCTGCTGCTGCTGCTGCTGCTGCTCCTGCAGCAGCAGGTTTCAGTTGCATTGTATGCTTCTTAGGGGGAGCTTTGCGTGTACTAGAAGGAGTCATATCTCCAGTTTCTTCTTCTTTTCTTCTCTTACGTCCCCCTGAAGCTGCAACTCCTCGTCTAGACCCGTTGGTTCTTACAGACTGCTGATGTGCTGAGCTGCTGCTGCTGCTGCTGCTGCTAGCATCAGCAGCAGTTGCTGCTTCTGTTGTGTCTTCAGTGGTATGAGGCGCATGCTGAGAAGTTGAACTGGGTTTGCTCCCATGGCTTGTTTGATTAAGACGAGGGCTCCTCCGCGTTAGAGAAACTCCCTGAGTTTTAAAAGAATTCACCTTCAACCTGTTGCGGCTGCGAGAAACAGAAGGAGAAGAAGGCCCCCCAGATCGTTTGGTTGGAGTGGCAGTACTACGAGGAGAAGACGCCTCATCATTGTTTGCTGCCCCTCTGCAGCGTGCTTGATCTGCTGCTGTTGCTGCTTCTGCAGCGGCTGCTGCACAGCAGCTGCTGTTCTCCTGTTCTCTATGTCCTCCGTTCTTTGATTCGTCGCTGTTGGCTTCCACTGCGTGGGTAGAGTGGGAGTAGTGTGAAGTATTCCGGTTGCAGTGCGGTGTATGCTGAGGGGTACATGCAGGTGTTATTGGGGGCCTTTTATCGTTTTGCTGTTGATCAACAGCTGCCGAAAGGTCCATAGAAGCGGAGGAGAGAGAAAGAGAAGAAGAAGGAGCTGCGGTTGAGGCTGAGGAAGGCCTTGTATTACCTAAATGCAGCACTCGCATGTGAGATGCAGAAGCGCAAGCTGTATCCGGCTTAAAAGAACAATGAAAAGATGAACTCCGCCTGCAAATCGAAAGAAATACATCGGAAAGCTCAGAGAAATCCTCAAACTCCATCAACGACTTCAAAGTTTGAACAGAAGTAGACATACAAGACAGCAGCTCCGGCGCTACCGCTGGAAAGGCTGTTATTTCAGATTGTTCTTCGCTCTCCTCTTCTGGCCTCATTTTCACACAATCAATTAATATTAAATTGAAACCGAGAATAAAAGAAAAAAATCAGGAAAAATACGGGAAAAAACTCAAGATCGCCCCCCCACCCCCCTGCTCCTCAAACGCCGTCGAGGGTGGGTGTAGTAACCCTCTGGCCTGTTGCTGCAAATACTCGGCAACAAACAGCAGAAAACCGATTAAAAGACAATAAATTCTTTTTCATTGATGGGAATTCCTTGAAAATAAAAATCCAACAGCTTCCTTAGCTACTTCTTTCCACAGGGCGGGGGCCCCTCTGCGGGGGGGGTTGGCGGCAGTGGCAGTACGCAGGTAATACATGCATCTCAGGGGTTTAGGAATTCAAAGTTTATTAGGGGAATACAGTGAAGAAAAAAACAAAAACCGATTACTTTATGTTCAATTTGCACTCTTTCTAGGCGGCAGACTTTAACATTTGACGCAAACGCCCATGTGTTATCGACTAAGATGCAGGAGGCAGAATGAAGGAAGCTAAGGAACAAGATAGAGATGTTATGGATTAAGACAGACAGACTCTATGCCCTTGCATGCAGCTAAAGTTGCATACAGAGGTCTCGGGCTCGCCTAAAGAGTAAAGCTTGAGGCCTCCTCGTTTTTTTTTTTGCTTTGTACGGTTGTCCTTCAGTCTATAGTTGGGCTCAACCCTACAGCCTACTCAGCCACTCCATCTAATGGGGCATTTGTCGTATCTGTAAGATGTTGTTGATTTGTTTACTGCTCCCCGTAGATGCTGCACTTGTGTGTAATATGTCTGCCTCCAAACTGAGACAATCTGCTGCCCATTACAGTGCCTTCACTACTGTCAAGTACAAACTATACTTTGTTATATATCACTATAAAACCATGTCTTCAACAATTTTGTAGAATTCTAGGCCTATGTTTCCCTGGAAAGTAGGTAATAATGTATCAGTTTCCATATTTAGGAAACCAACCTGTTACCTTTTGACCGTATGCTCGACCTTCTTGAATATTCATAAACAACTCTTCATGCTGTTGGAAGCAGAGCGGACGCCCCAGCCTGAGAACACAACACAGACGATTGATCCCGATAGCTTGCAGACCTTATACTGCAAGGGGTAAGAGCCAGCTTCACCTCGAAGTACAGTGTGGTGGGAGTCTTCAAGGTTAAGGTAGGATTCTTGAATATTCATAAACAACTCTTCATGCTGTTGGAAGCAGAGCGGACGCCCCAGCCTGAGAACACAACACAGACGATTGATCCCGATAGCTTGCAGACCTTATACTGCAAGGGGTAAGAGCCAGCTTCACCTCGAAGTACAGTGTGGTGGGAGTCTTCAAGGTTAAGGTAGGAGCGTCACGGGCTGCAGAGAAGTCAAAACACTTGCGATAAGTGTTCACCAAACGCTGGGGGCTTCCCTTCTATCTCCAGGCCTTTTGGCGAGGCTCACAAGATACTGGAAATACTGAGAAGGGGGCAGCAGGCTCTGCTGAGCAGCAGTCCTTGGTGCTGCAACTGTTGCTGCAAGGCAGCCCCATATGCTTGCATGCCGTAACGAGCATACGAAGCCGAGGAATACTGTGAAATGCAATACAGTCAGACTAAAAGTCATCTGGCCTCCCTACCTGTCTCCAGATGCCTTGCCCAACACAATGGCCTGGGGCTGGTGCTGTAAACTACACCTGGACAGTGAGTAACTCTGAGGGCACGTATGTGCAAAGATCTGGGCCCCTCTTCACGTAAGACAACTAATAGCTCTGCGCTTCCCACCTTTATGCGACGCTGCGTACACCCACTCTTGTGGTCGATATCGTTGAGTTAAAATGCTCCTGAGGAAATGCCTCGCGCAGGGGATTTAAAAGTATTCCCTCGGGTTGTCGGTCTTCGAGAGATTGAACATAAAACACCTCTTTTTTGGCATTGTTTGCTCGTTCTACAAGTGTTAGGGGTCTCAGTAGCCTCCATGTTGTCCTTCTCGCAACGGCGTTTCAGCGGCTATGTGAGGCAGCGGGGGGAAGTTTCGCCGATTTCCCCAACAGGTTTAAGAAGACAGCATTCATGGTATCCATACATCTCTGCTTTATCGTTAAACCTAATACGATATACGTCAATGCCTTTTGCACAAAAACAGCGAAGAAAGGGCCCTTCAAAGAGCATGACGAATTTCCTCGGCTGTTTGTTCGCCTGCTCACTTCGCATTGCATGCAAATCCACTAATACCGAGCGGTTGGGGTTTAAAAGATTAACAGCTAAACGTCCTTTCCCATGCTCCTTTGCTTATCTTTCTTGCGCTTTCTTGAGTATTCCTGAGCTGCTGCCAGCAGTGTGCCGAAATCCGCAGCAATACTTTGCTACCTCACGAGGTTAGGGGTCGCCAGCCAGCCCCAACATCGAGTCAAGCAATGGTGTTTCAGTGTAGACCAGGGGAGTTGAAGGTCCGCAGGTTGACAACTGCACTGCTATTTTACAAACGCACCTACGGGAAGGAAGGTTGAAGATGCTCAATCATTTTCTCACTGCTATTTTACAAACGCACCTACGGGAAGGAAGGTTGAAGATGCTCAATCATTTTCTTGGGATTTCGCTGTTTGTAGAAAAGCGAATATTCTGGTCGGCATAAAGGCGATCTCTGTCAGAAGTGATTCTTTAGGGAAATTTGCGAGTGTCCAGATGTGTATTTTTTTGAATAATTTAGCTGTTCTGCTGTACCCAAACTCGATCAATAGACGAAGTTTGCATATTTGCAGAGTCTATCCACAACTTAAATGCTGTCACAAGCTTTGACTAGTGATAAACCCACTATGAGATGCATTGATATATGCATTCATTATCGATAAGCAATTGAAAGACTCTGCAAGGGCCCCTTCATAGCTGCTGATATTCCCTGCTAATGAGGAGATATACCTCAGCTTATAACCTGGGCTTTCGTTCCACTGTTGTGTTGACCTCACCATAAACCGCTAATGCATGAAAACCTATTTCAGGGGAAACTCCTGTTCAAAGCGAAGCCAAATCGTGAGACCGACATTACTTTACTCTTCGCCTGGTGCAAAGCGATGCCACCGCCTTTGCTGCGATGCCTAAACCATCTTTCATTGCTGAGAAGAACGGCAGCTCTATGTATATCGAAGAAGTATAAAGAAGGTAGATGAGAAGGAGAACAAGAACACTAAACAGTAGGGCGTCAGGAGTATACGCTAACAACTACTTTAGTGTTATTCTGTAGAAGCATTACACACTTAAGAAGGGAAGCCAAACAAAGTTTTCGTTATTCCAGACTTGTATACTCTGCGGCAGATCTGAGGAGTAGATAATCTATTCTAATGCTGAAGTAAATGCCATATGAAAGGTGCTTCTTTACTCCCCAACCAACAACAGAGTTTTCATTTTCTCTTAACGAAATAATTTTCGGATTGATAAATTGATGTTTGTTTGTTGGGCGACTATCGCCTGTAATATAGTATGCGCATGCACTTCACGCCTGTAACTCCTGAATAAAGTTATTAATATCAATTAATATATCGTTTGTTCAAACGCCTCTCATATATTTGCTTCAGAGCTGCTTACCTTCTGCTCCTTGGCAGGAGCTGCTAAGCCGGACACTTCCCTTAACATTTTCCACTAAAACGTCGTTATTTATCTCGATTAATTATATTTAAATGCTTTATGCATATAATTCTTAGAAATTTCGCAGAAGAAGTCAACTAACCACATGCACGAGCTCCCTGCTCGCTCGTCGATTTCCTCCCCTACATACTGCTGCTGCTGCTTCCTCGGGACTAGGAGGGAAGATCTATTATTTCGGGGTAAAATTAAAATGCTTATGAATATTCTAACTACAAATACGAATTGCAAATGAATAAAGAACTTAAATTCAGTAAATTGAACATAAATATATGCAAAAAAATCCACAATACCTCTGCCTTATGCGGCGGCTGCTTTAGAGGCTAAAGCAGCGGAGTCGCAGAAAGAGTTGAAGGAGTTGTTTGAAGTTTTACATTGTAGAAATTATTTCTTTTTACGGTTTGTTTCTGTTTAATTTAATGAATAATTGCCCCCAAAGGATAAAACAAACGGCAGCCATCTCAGGCCTTCTTCCAAGACGATATTTCAACTTTTTTTTTTCTTGAACAAAAATTCGTGAACATTCAAGAAGAATTTATTCATTTAGCAGAAATTATTATGCATTGTTTCTCTCTTTTTTGCTCGTTATGTTTTATCCTGTCCCTCCCAGAAGCTCTTCTTTGCAAGGATATTGAATAGAGAGGTTCCTTCGCATTGCTTTTCTTTTTTCGTGTTATTTTTTTCTTATTCTCTCTCTCTCTCCAGAGGCTATCCTACGTAAGAAAGGCAGTGAAAAGAATTACAAAGAATTATATTAATAAAGATGCCGGAGTTTGTTGGAATGGAGGCCCCTGGTGGAGTAACTGTACAAGAAGAAAATCAAGCCGATGAAGATATTGCATCTAAAGCAAATGCCCCGAGAAAAGACGAAGAAAGAGATGCTTATTCTCTTCATAATTCTTCTATTAGTGGAAAAGTAGAATCATCTAAAGCCTCAAAACCATCTTTGCAAGCCGGTATATTAATCTTAGGGCTTTTTCTTCTTCTAGCAGGTATTGCTTTAACTCGTAGAAGCTTTAAAGAAATACAAACAAAACCTTCACTGACTCCTGTTCAACCTACTCCTACTGAACAGCCCTCTCAAGTAGAGGAAGGAGAAGCAAAAGAAACAGGGATTGCAACTGATGATGTTAGTTTACAAAGATATCTTGATACTCTTGTTCATGACGCAGAAATATTAAGTGTCGCTTGGAAAAAATCTTCTGGAGATGTGAGGAGAGGCTTTATAGTGAATTATACACCCAATTCAAATGACAGAGAAGCTGAAGAAGAAGGGATAAGGAATATGAATGCACCTACTGTTTTACTATACGCTCAGGAAGTAGAAAAGATGCTGAATACAGGGATACCTTCACCGCATGATGAAGAAGGGCGTTTTGCATATGGATTGCATGCAAGACTTCTTTCTTGCATTTGTCGTGCTGCAACTGAGAAATTAAAGATGCTGCAAGAATTAGAGAGAGTGCATGAAGAAGAAGGGGGCCCTGTATGTTTATTAGGTTTAAAAGAAAATGATGATATTGGTCTACCGCCTGTAGAATTCTTAGAAAGAAATCCAGATCCTTTAGCTTCGCTTGAAGAGTTATCAGAGCTTTTACCTGGATCTGTGCCTCCGTTCTCTCGCCCTGAAATACCTTTAGTATTATTTCGTCGTATGTCTTCATTAGTAAGCGTAAATAGAGTTAAAGGTGAAGGGTTAGAAGACTCTCTTCTTCAGTTTGGCGATTTCCTAAAAGCTTTAAATACAAGTTTTGCACAACTCGCGTATGCTGGAGTTGGGGATACTCCTTCATATTCTGTTCCATATAGCGAAGAGATTATAGATACAACTACTTTTGTAGAAAGTTTATTTGATACAGGTGCTTTTCGCCTAGGAGCAGCAGCTCAGCATAAAGCTTTTCTTACTCGAGCTGCACAGGGTTGGACGGACTTAGCTTCTTTTCATCAATTAGTTAGAAATCTAGAAGGAAAAGAAAAAGCAGATGCTGATTATACACTCGGGAAGAAACGAAAAACAAGACAACGACTTCTTGAAGTTTCTCAAGACCCGAGTTTATCTAACTTATATATGCTATTCATATTTCTCTTATAAACAAATGTAATATTTATATCTTATCTACAAAATCCTTATAGTCTTTTTTCTGTCTTTGTGCATTTCTTCTTTTTTCTTTTATATGCTATTACAAGCTGCTCTTTTTACATTATGTATGAGAAATATATATATATATATATATATATAATTATATATATTTTTATATTAAAAAAATATATACATATATATATATATATATTTTTCTTTTTTTGATTCTTCTGTTGATTTGTATGCATGCTTGTTTTATTTCTTTGTTTGTTTATATGATTTTCTTCTTGCAGTATTTTATTTTGTGTATTTCTGTTGTTGTCTTTACTGTTTTATGTAGTTATGTTCTTTTATTAAATTAATTTGCTTTATTTTGCTTTTCGAAATTAATGCGAAAATATCTGCGTTTTTATTTTCATGTAATTCTCTTTTTTTATTTAATTAATTATTCTTCTACTTTATGTATTCTCTTTTATTTGGCTGATTGTTCAAAATATTCGTTCAGCTCTTTTCTTTTATTTACTTGATTATTTCTTTCTTTTCATTTATTGCTCTTCTTTTATTTATTGAGCTATTTCTTTCTGTTTGTTTATCTAATTCTCTTTCTTTATTTAACTATTTCTCTCTTTTCTTCTCTAATTCTCTGATAATTAATCAAATAAAAGAAGAGAATTAGATAAAAAGAAATAATTAATAAATAACTAAGTAAATTATTTCTTTTTATCGAATTCTCTTCTGTTATTTAATTAATTATGTTTTTCTTTTTATATTTCCTGCACAACTTTTTTTTCTCTCGTTACTAAGAGAGCTTTTATGTGTGCGTTTTGTAAGGACTAAACAACGAAAGAAAATATTCGTTTATTCTAAGTACAAGTTTCTTTTTGTTTATTTATTTATTTATTTTATTTCGTGTCGCTTTCAAGCAAACACTTACTTGCAGAGCAGCAGAGAAGCAAAGAATAGCCTCGCTCTAGTACACGCAGTATTAACTTCAGAAGTAATAACACTATATATATATACATGTATATATATATATATACATGTAAATATATATATATATATATATATTTATATATCTGCATATATATAAGTATAGAGCATATATATATGCCGCTTCAACTTTAGAAGTAATAACACTCTTTTATGTATCTTTGTATATATATATATATGTACATTTATACATTTATATGTATATATATATATATATAAACAGCGTTAACACAGAAATAATAACACTTTTTGGAGGTATATAATATATATATATATATATATATAT